CCCCGCGGCCCCCAGCTTTCCCCCGGACGATGTGGCCTCCCCACAGGGGGACTGGACCGTGGTAGAGGTGGAGACCTTCCACTGAGCCAGCCTCCCAGCCCCTCCCCTGCCTTAGGACCCGCCCCTCTGGTTACACCTCTGTCTTAGGCGCGCCCCACCCCCACTTCCCTGGAGTTTTCGGTTTTCGGTGGTTTTGGTCTTTGTCCCCTAGAGCTCCAGTATTTTGGTCCAGGCCCCGCCCCTACCCTTGACCTAGGATCGGGGTCCACCCACGTCTTTGGTCTAAGCCCTCCCCTCGAGCTCCGCCCCTTTGGTCCAGGACACGCCTTTTGCTCCCCTCGAGCCCCGCCCCGCTGCTCCAGCTCCACCCCATGTCTCGTGTATGGCTGACCCTGCACAACCCGAGTTTGCAATAAAAGCGGTCGTTGGAGCCTGTGCGCCTTCGGTGCCCCCACGTGGGTTGGGGCTGGGGGCTGTCCTCGGGTCGAGCCCGCGATAGGATCCGGGCCAGGCCGCGCCGGGCGGACGGCTGTCAGTGAGCAGATTGGAGCTGCTCCGGAACGCTGCGACTTTCCTCCTGCCAGAAAGGAGAGGCGGCCGAAGTGGGGCCCTGCGGAGTCCCGGACGCCCCGCGCCAAGACCCCGCTCGGGTGCCTGAATTTGTGCTTGTCCGTGTCCGACTTCCGGCGGGAAAGGTAGACACCGATGGGGCCCGCGTGCCTTGGTAGGCGAGCCGGTGCGTGGACTAGGTGGAGGAGCAACCGCGGCTCGAAGCTCTTCCTACTGGGCGCCAGGGAACTGGGGCTCCTGGGGAACCGGCGGAAGAGCTTGCCCAGCGCTGGAGTGGGGACGGGGGTAGGGCTCCCACTGTCTCACTGCGCGCCCTTTTACGTTTTGGGCCCTGGGGTGCTGCTCTGGGACTGAGCGGGGCAGTGGGTAGGGACTCCGCTGAGGCCTGGAGACCCACGGGGAAGTTGCCGGGTGCCCCACGTGGCTTCCTCCCCATCTCTAAGCCAGCCAGGGAGGCTCCAAAGTCCCCCGGGGCATCCCCAGGTGGGCGAAAGGAGCCGGGCTTGGGCCCTCAGTCCTCTCTCTGACCCTGACCCTGTGGCCAGGTTCTGGTCAGGCTCAGACACCAGGTCCCATCTGTCCCCACTCCAGATGGGATGAGGAGGAATGGGCCCTGTCTCGGGGGGCCACTGCCGCCTGCACCCGTTTTCCGTTGTCCTCGTTTCCAGGCTCTGAGACAAGCCCAAGGGGGGGGGGGGCTGGCACCTGCCACGCCGGGCCAGCCCCATGGCCGGGCCAGCCCCATGAAGGAGCGGGCAGAATCCCCCTGGGGGCCCTGCCCTGTCCTGGGGCGCTGACTGGGTGGGTACCCTGGGAGAGTGGGAGGCACAGAGGCTTGTGGGGGTGGGGGTCTCAGTGCTCAGTCTACTCTGGGGAGGATGCACGTGGTCACAGTAGCTGCCAAACACACTGGGACAGGACGAGGGACCCTGATGAGTTACTGGTGCCTACCCTGTGCATGGCGCCTACCACGGCTGCTCTGTGGGCCCACACTGGGTGCAGAGGGCACGGCCTGGCTGGCCCCCACCAGACCCAGTGATGTGTCCACTGCTAAGAAACCTTCCATGGCCAACCATGGCTCTGTCCCCCACCACTCCAGCTGCCTGAGCTCCCTGGGGAACCCCACAAGGAATCTGAGTTGTCCTTGGGTCTTCTCCCCAGGGAGCCCCCACGCTCTGTCCCCATACTGGCCTCACTGACCCCCAGCGCCATCGCTCATCTCATGTGCTCCTCTCCTAAGTCCCCTATTGCTCCCTACTGTCCTCAAAGCTCAAACTCTCACCAAACCTGAGAAGCCTCTTAGGACTCTGGGCAGGTCTAGGCTGGCTCCTGTTCCCCTTCCCAGGCATCAAGTGCCTCCTGCTGGTTCCTGCAAAATCCACTCTTTATCCTTTTTCTTTTGGAGAAGGCTCCAATGCCACCTCCTCCAGGAAGCCTTCTCTGGTCTCCCTACACATTGGTGTACCTAGCACTGACCATGTTAGTGGCAGGCTCATCTTGGGACACACCTCCCACACACACACATACATGCACACTCCTTCACTATCCTGGGGACCCCTCAGAGCCAAGCAAAGGACAGAGCATCCTGGGAGGCCCTCAGAGCTATGTGCGACCAGATCCCACCCTTCCTGAAGCCCAGACTCATCTACATCTGTCGCGGAGCCCGAGTTGAGTTACCCAAGTGGGTAAGAGCTCACACTCCCACATAAACCCTCTCCACTGTCCTTGGTCACACCGCACCCCTCTGTATCAGGCTGTGGGGAGCTCCTGAGGGCAGGGGCAGCCCACCCCCCTCAGTATGGTTTTGCCAGGCCAGGGACTGGGGACACCCACGGCTGTCTGCAGCCCCCCACCCCCAGGCCTGCCCCACTCACTGCCCCCGGTCCAGGACTGTGTAAATACACTTTATTTTCCATCTTTCCCGCCTGGGCGACATGTGGAGTGTGAACAGGCAGTGTGCAAAATGGTGGTGGGCAGTGTGGGGGCGCATGGGAGAGCCCCGCGGGTGCCCGCCCCGTCCCAGGCTGTGTAACACTGAAGAGTGGGCGATCAGGAAGGGGGACTGGGCAAGGGTCCCCACCCCAGGAGGCGCCAGGGAGGCTGCTTGTCACGCTGCTCTAGTCCAGGCTCCAGGAGCACCAACGGGGTCACCCCAGAGTCATGAGGGTGGGCGGAGGGGCACCTTGGGCTTTGGCACCGTTCTCAGCGCTGACTTGGCAGAGACCAGGGGACTGTCGCCAGGAGGGGGCCAGGGAGGCAGCCTCGCTGGAAAGCTCCTCCCCCAGAGCCTGGCCCTGGCCGAGGGTGGGACTGGGGACCCGAGAACGAGAACGGAAGGAAGTGAATGGAGGCTGAGGTCCCCCCATGGGGGTGGTGCTCTCCCCTGACTGGCCCAGTAGGGTGATGCGAGTGTCTCCCAGAGGAAGATGTGGGGTGCTGGGGAGAGGGATCCCTTCACTTCCTGCAGCTGCTCTGGCCTCAGAGGGGCAGGTGACACTGCCCAGGCCTGGACTGGTTCCTGCTGGCCACTCGCACCCAGGTGGCTCTGTGCGCAGTAGAGGGGACTTTGGTTTCTGCTGCAGGGGCCACGTCACCTGGACTGGGCAGGAGAGCCCACCAAGGCCATCTGTCCCTGGCGACCAGGCGCTGGTCAAGGGTCAGTGTGTCCCGAGAAGTGCCGTGGGGTGCGCCCGTCCAGCCCTGGAGCTGGGTCCTCCTTTTCGTGGGCCACCTGTAGTCCTGAACCCTTCCCCACAGGGCCGCCGCGGTCCCAGAAGGAAGCCTGCTGCGAGGCGCGAGCTCGCGAGTCCCGACCCCGGCGTTAAAGGACGCAGCCCCTCCCGATGACTGGCCAGGCGCCCCTGGGACGCAGGAGGGCCCGGAGGGGTGCGGGCCGGGGTGGGTAAACACTGCTGGGGAGGGCGGG